TCTCTGCGCTTTTCATTCTCGCGCTGGAACCACCTGTCGTCAATGTTGATTGCCGCGTCGATGTACTCCCTCAGTGTCTCTGGACGAGGCGTTTTGCAAAGCTCATCCTTGACGTGGTCCTTGAGGCCATCGTAAAACGCAAGCAGTTGCCCCTGAACTGACCAGTCGAGGTGCAACATGCAGGTCTGGAAGTCCACTGCATATTCAGCCACTGAACGAGTCTGCCTCAACTTCTTGACTTGTTCCTCCGTCTTCCGTTGGATGTGACGGTCCGCGAAGAACTCTCCCATTCGTGCAAGAACCTCCTTAACTCCTTTCTGGATGACGGCGTGGACTTCCGGGTTTCTGTCCGCTGGCTGTACCGCTAGCGCCTTCTGGTAGGGTTCGAACCAAGTGGCCGCTTTTCCCACAAGCCTAGTACCGAGGTACGTTACCTCATCTTTGTGGTACGGCAACTCATCGGTGTTGTACGCCGTGTAGGAGAGCACCGAATCTTTCCATGTTTCGAACTTGTCTTTGTCTCCATCGTAGAGCTCAGGGTGGGGGATCTTCAGCTTCTTCTGGGGAGGTGCATTGGCCGCTTCTAGGCCACGAATCCTGTTTCCGGCCTCCGCCAGATCCGCTCTCAACTGGGTGACTTCCGCCGCCAGCTGCGCGTTGGTCGCCATGTTGTCGTCTTCTAACGCAAGGGGTTCCAGTTGTTGAGCGAGCCGGGTGACTGATCCTTCACTGAGAGTTTCCGGTTCCTCGTCTGCGTCTCTGAGGTGCGTGTCTTCAGGCTGGATGGATCCAGCGATGCTGCTACCGTCAGACTCGTCACTACTTGACGAACCGGGTTCTCCTTCTGGCTGGGTGTCTGGCAGGACCGTATCCTCTCCAGGCGTAGCCAGGTTGTCGGTGTGCGATGAGCACTCTGTTCAATCAGTACCAAAGAGAGAAGCAAGCAACGTATTACAAACCACTCGACTGTCAGGGTCGTCTGTCTGTAAGGGAGCACGGGCTCCACAGAATGCTGGGTTGGTAATTATGAAGATAGAACAAAGGGCAAGCTCCTATCGCACGGGTAATACAGTCAAATCGGAATGCCACTCAAAGTGTATGAGTGCAGTGGATGTGTATTGCTTGCTTGAAGAACCAAGCAAGAACTATCTAGGACCGTGGCTACGGTCGTCGTATATATCTATCTAAGGCGGACCAATCAGAGTCCTTGGTGCCTGCGCTCCGCGGGTCCAGGGCGCTCTGCTCGCAGAGCGCAGGGGCCCCACAGAGCGCCCGCTCCGTCCGCTCTGCTGGTCTTGGCAGCTAATCAGGCAGAGCGCTTCCTGGTTGGCCGCACCCACACGGGGTGGGGTCTGTCCGTCTCCACCACGTCACCCAATCACGGGGCGGAAGCAGGGCGCCTCATGCACCCTGAACCAGGATCGTAACACAATGTGATTTTGCCGACCAGAGTGTGCCTATAGCAGTGAGGTTCCTCGTTTTCTTCTAGGCAGCACAACTTCGTGTTCGTTTTGGGTGGCCAGGTAACTTTTGCTGAGATGGGAGAAGTCTGTTTCTGGTGACGTGTAATTTCATTATTGCGTACTGTACTACAGATCTGAGCTTGTTCTTGATGCGCGTGATGCTTCTGATGATGCTTTGTCCAGTGGTATTGCTGTCAATCGGTCCTGTAGCACCCGTATCGCAGCTTTTGGTGATGAAGAAGAAAGGAAGGAAAATCTACAAAGGAATTGTTCGTGTGTAAGCTCTTTGTGGGAGCGGGCAGCGCACGGGCCCACGCCGCTTTTTGGGTGCCAAGACCTGCATTCCCAATTAGGGCTAGTGCGGGGTCAGCTGCAGGGTTAACGGTGGTGGCTGTAACAGATTCTACGAATACAGCGACTATCTGACTCTTTGTTATGCGGAAAACTAAACTCCTGGACGGTTTCCAAATCCGGCTGAAGAGTATGGTTCTGCTTCATACCGACCGGCTGCAGCAACTTCGGACGTGGTCTGTCCACAACCCCCATTTCCTGCTCTCCGCAAAACATTGGAACTTCTTTTCTTTTTCTCTCCTTTAGATTCTACGAATACAGCGACTATCTAACTCTTTGTTGTGCGGGAAATTGAACTCGACGGTTTCCCTAATGCTAATCCCATAGCTGAGTGTGGTTCTGCTTTATGGTCACGCACCCGTAGGCCTGCCCATAGCTCCGATAGTGATGATGGTGGTGTCACCTACAATTTGAGCCACATCTGAGCCATAACCGAGTTGAACCTTAAAAGGCCCTCTATGACGCTCACTTCCTAGTATCACGAGATTTCCTTTGTTTTACTTTTTGGGTATAAATAGTGGCTTCTTTTCTTACATTTCTAGACTTTTTTTTAGACAGACAATTCAAGACCCTTCAACCCCCTGTCAACTTTGATCACGGGCCAGAGGTGGTGATGACAAGGGTGGTGACGAGGGTGGTGTAGGGGACGAGGAGGGTGGTGGCCGAGAGGCACGCAAAGAAGAGGGATGATGTGCGGTGACGATTTGACTCTGTTGTGCGGAATGAACTCCTAGACGGTTTCCCTAATGATAATCCCATAGCTGGAGTGTGGTCTGCTTTATGGCCACGATTGTGCTAAGATGCCAAGCTGCAATCTGCCCCAATTCGAGGCTCGCTGCTACCCATAGTAGGCAGGACGTTGTCGCTTGCTAACATGGCGTTAGGAAGCTTAAGGGGAGTTATGAGATCCTGCTGAGACTGAAATTATACGCCGTCTAGCCTTACGAGCTACCGGAGCGTCTTCGAAACGGGCGGGGAGCGGCGCGGGTTACGCCGGACCAGTTCCAGCTTGACATCGACACTTGTGTAGACGCCACCGCTGATGAAGGTCCCTGCTACGACGGTCATCGGTCTCTGTTCTACAACACATCGAGATGCTGAACCAATGCTCAACACTGAGATGCTGAACCAATGCTCAACACCCATGCTGAACCAATGCTCAACACCGAGATCCTGAACCAATGCTCATAGACCGGCTGCCAGGTCCGACAGTCCATCTGCCCTCGTGTCCTTCAGGCGCTCCTCATTGGACAGAGGCACGCCTGCCTCGCCGGTGCTCTCCCGCGCTCGTCCAGATACCCCATCAGCCTTGTCTAGGTGCTAAGAACCGAGTCGGAACTTTTGTCCTCTTCAGCTAGCTACTTTCCTTTTTATCAATCACCAAACCCCCAAGGCATTGAAAAACTTGAAGAATATGCAGTCGGATTCCTCCTACTTCCTAAGCCAGCCAAGTTATTGAACTCGAGATTATAAGCCTCCTTTGAGAATACTGCCTGCTACATAGTCGAAGGCGTTACGTCTAAGACCATGTGATTATGCGCATACGCGACCATGCTGGCCCTGTAGCCACAATGTCTGACTAGATTGCAACCCACACTCGTGGGCCACTGTCGAGCGCATCGTCTTCTTGCTTCTCCTAGCTCTCTTCCTGTCGAAGTGCACTCCTAGCTCTCTTCCTATCCAAGTGCACTCCTAGCTCTCTTCCTATCCAAGTGCACTCCTAGCTCTCTTCCTATCCAAGTGCACTCCTAGCTCTCTTCCTATCCAAGTGCACTCCTAGCTCTCTTCCTATCCAAGTGCACTCCTAGCTCTCTTCCTATCCAAGTGCACTCCTAGCTCTCTTCCTATCCAAGTGCACTCCTAGCTCTCTTCCTATCCAAGTGCACTCCTAGCTCTCTTCCTATCCAAGTGCACTCCTAGCTCTCTTCCTATCCAAGTGCACTCCTAGCTCTCTTCCTATCCAAGTGCACTCCTAGCTCTCTTCCTATCCAAGTGCACTCCTAGCTCTCTTCCTATCCAAGTGCACTCCTAGCTCTCTTCCTATCCAAGTGCACTCCTAGCTCTCTTCCTATCCAAGTGCACTCCTAGCTCTCTTCCTATCCAAGTGCACTCCTAGCTCTCTTCCTATCCAAGTGCACTCCTAGCTCTCTTCCTATCCAAGTGCACTCCTAGCTCTCTTCCTATCCAAGTGCACTCCTAGCTCTCTTCCTATCCAAGTGCACTCCTAGCTCTCTTCCTATCCAAGTGCACTCCTAGCTCTCTTCCTATCCAAGTGCACTCCTAGCTCTCTTCCTATCCAAGTGCACTCCTAGCTCTCTTCCTATCCAAGTGCACTCCTAGCTCTCTTCCTATCCAAGTGCACTCCTAGCTCTCTTCCTATCCAAGTGCACTCCTAGCTCTCTTCCTATCCAAGTGCACTCCTAGCTCTCTTCCTATCCAAGTGCACTCCTAGCTCTCTTCCTATCCAAGTGCACTCCTAGCTCTCTTCCTATCCAAGTGCACTCCTAGCTCTCTTCCTATCCAAGTGCACTCCTAGCTCTCTTCCTATCTAAGTGCACTACCAGATCTAAGCCTTTCAAGCAGATCTCGTACCAGAACAATCCGGCCAACAGGGATAGTTACGAAACGCAGCCGCAACAGGGCTGAGCAGGCGGCTACCATCCGCCACAACCGCCAATAGCAGGCTCAGTTCCGCAGCCGCCACCAGTAGCGTACAGGTACCGTCCCGAGCCAGAGCCGCAACCTCCACCTAGAAGGGGTCAGCTGGACGGAGCCTCTTTTTTTCTTATTCTTTGCATCTGGCGGCGCCTGCGGCGAGCTGTCCTCGCCTCGCTCGAGGGAATGGGTGGCTAACCAAGAATGCTGGCCGAGGGGTGCTGGTAATGTTTGACCAAATTATAACCACGGCATCCCTTATATTGGGAGGAATCTGGTCGGTGTCTCTTTACTCGTAGTGAGGATGGGGCGGTTGGGAGGAATCTGGTTCGGGGTCTCGTTGATCGGGCGGTGGGGACTGCGGTTGAGGGAACCCGACCGTAGACGCGTTCTCAGCGATGTATTAGTGGAGATTAACAGGGTAATAATCGTCAAGTATTCGGCGTACCTGTCCATAGCTAGAAGGGGACAAATCGTGCGTGCGATTGGCTGAAATTGAATTGCGAGATCAAGGAAGAAAGTGGTCTACTTTTAGGAGGAGCTGGCTGCAAAGTTGAAGTACCGCACGGACTACGCACAACGGATTGACAGCCATTTGACACGGACAAAAACTGGCCAATTCCCGGGCGAGAAAGGCCAATCCTTGGGCGAGAAACTTTGGCACCCTCACGGCAAAAGAGAAGAGACAGCCTCTTTACGCCACCTCTCGCAAGCTCGCCCACGCTGGCTCCGTTCAGCTGAACAAAAGCTGCGCGCGCCGCACTCTTTGGTGAGTCTCGACCCCTTAACACGACTATCTTCATCAACACCCACCGATAGTAACACCCACCGATAGTAACACCCACCGATAGTAACACCCACCGATAGGACCGTCTCACGCCTGTTCCGCGACAATCTCGGACATGACGCCGCACGGCTTAACTCACATCTCTTGCAATCTTCTTCCACTCGACGGACCGCGTGAGCCCGAACCAGACCGAGATGGCAATGCCTGTGACAAGACCAATCAGCAGCGCGGCTTCCGACCAATGGCGTCGCCGACCCGGGCCCAGACCATACCGCCAGTTGCCCATCGAAATCCCAACCAAGCGCTCGAGGTCGAGACCCTTAAGGACGCGCACGCCGCTGAGGCTGCCCAGCACGGCCGCATTCCCAAAGACCCCATATCCGAGCCAGACGCCCTCGCTGAGAGACTACCAAGTTTCCCAAAGAGGCGAGTTCGCGAGCCCAACCCCTCTGCCCGAACCTTTCGTCGACGACAATGACAGCCGCGATAGGCTCCAGAGTTGGGCGTCTTGCTGCACCATCAGGCAGAAAGTCGGGCAACTATACATGGCTGCCCATCCATCCATAACGATCCCACCCAATTCTTCACTCCCGAACCCCCCGATTCTTCAGTGTCCAAAGGTCGAATTTGCCTGTCCGCAGTCACGCCATGTCGTTCCCCAGAACCGTTGGGTCTGCCCTTCTTCCTGCCGGCCGCCACACAGCCTTCACGCCGTCGCTGCTCGACAACGGCACCCTCGCTGCTCGAGAACGGCACCCTTGCCGTGCTTGCGGGCAACTGCTCTAGCGCCACTAATGCCTCGCTGTAGACCTTCGCGCCGCCTGCCAGCCCCTAGACCCAGCACGCCCCCTAGACCCAGCACGCCCTCGCGCCCAGCAGCGATTGAGACTGCGGCCAGGGCGGGCCCTACTTCCCGCATCTTGACGCCAGAACTGGTTAGAGCCACAGCGGCCATGTAATGATATGGCTGCAGCGTCTAGAAGTCACGATACCTTGGTCTAGAGGTTGCTGTTGAGATAGATAATCACTACAAATACCTACTTCGCTGCTGCTGGCGCGGTGCAGGCTCGGCAGCTCCTCGGGGTCCTGGCCGCGCTGGAGAGAGTCGCGTCATTCGGGGTCCACGTCCAACCTCGAGACCACGGCGACGTCTACGGCAGCAGCTGCTCTAGGGCGACGCAGTAGAGGCGCTAGTTCTCGCCATCGCCGTCTAGCCCCTGCCCCCAGTGCACGACACTATATTACCGAGGCGACTTACTTCTGCCGGGGACCGAGGTAGTTGGCCACCGTGGCATACATGGGCCGACGGGTGTAGACGATGGACATGTATCGTGACGGTGAGGGTTTCTCACAGCAGGGCCCTACGGAGAGGGCGAGGAGATGTACGAGACGGGCAAGATAATTTGGTCATACTGCAAAGCGGTGGTTAGCGAAGGGGATCAACCAACTATCGACTGCATCATGCAAATGCAGAGAGATGAGGTGCCTCTTGGTTGACATTCAAGGAGGGCAGCGTCGAGGGGGGAAGAAAATGCCAATCAGACCAATAGGAAACGGAGTCCCGCAGAAAATGTGAGGGCAGTTACGAGGGAGGGCAGTTATGAGAGAGTGCAGTTACGAGGGAGAGTAGTTACGAGAGAGGGTAGTTACGAGGGAGGGCAGTTACGAGAGAGGGCAGTTGGGAGCTAGTATTACGTGTTGATTGGGACAAAGTTGGCGTCTAGCGTCAGGGGCTGCCGGTAGTTGTGCATCCAAGACTCCCGCTCGGTCCTGGCTAGCTATCTGCTCGAATATAGGCGCAATGCGGCTTGGCTGCCTTAGGGCCGAAGAAGGCTGGTCTTGGTCTTGTCCTCGTCTTCGATCGTCGGTTTTGGCTTCCCCTCGTCAATCCACCTTTAGCCTTCATTGCGCATTACAATCTCGTGTCCCACTCAGCCCAGCTTGAATCTCCCCGCGAAGGCTCAAGAGAACAGCGTACCCGCCGAGATTTCGGGGCCTGTCTGGGGAGGCACCCAACGGCAGATCTAGCCAAGCGCTTTCTGGAGCAAGTTGGACCATGATGATGCGGTTTACGGCGTGCTGCATCTCGGGCGCCTTGGCATGCACCTTCTTGCGTGCATTCATTCGAATTTGACCAAAGTGCCACCTTTTGATTGCCCTTGAGCAGCCTCTTGCTTGCGTTAGCAGGCTCCAGTCTTCACTCTGCCGGGCCCCGCCTTTGTCCTTGTTGCCCGAACCTTTGATCGCCGCGAGCCTTTTCCGGGAATACCCCGCTCACTTCTTCAATCACCTCCTCACCCGCCGTGTATCGCGTATTCTACCGTCGATCATATTGTCTATTGTCTGTCTGCCATCAATTATATTGTCTATTGTCTGTCTGCCGACTATCATATTGTCTGTTGTCTGTCAGGCTGGTAGTTTTTCTGCTCCCCTACCCAACCCACGCCAACGGCGCGCTTTCATTCGCCGCCCACCTGCCGTCGTAAGTCTTCCCCGCCACCTCGTGCCAACAACCATGTCGCCTGCAGGGCCAACAATCATGTCGCCTACAGGGCCAGGCTGACCAACGTAGAGCATCCATCATTCGTTTTACAACCTCGCTCACCAGACAGATCGACACGTCAACGTCAACAATGCTCACTGAATATAATGGCGAAGCCTCTGACATGGAGGACACCGGCGCTGGACCGTCGAGATGGACTGCTGCCGCGGGCTCACTTCCTGTGGCGAAAACTACGTCCACTCTTCCAAGTCGCCATCCTTACGTCCCTGGTCAAGACGGAAGCGGTGCGTTGATGATAGCTTGTCTCATGGCTCGATGTACGCAAGTGCTCTCCCCGATCAACTGCGTCTGCTACTACTAAACTGTGCGTTACAGAGGGGATTAAATAGCGGCAAGGTTGCTACCGTTGCGGACTCGGAAGCTGTGAGCACCCCTCTACCCCTTTCTCGCTGCTACCGTATACTGACTTGTAGTCGTTACTCAAAAGGCCGTGAACGACATGCTGGCGCGCATGGACGACATGTATCACAGCGTGGAGTTTGTTAAGAGGTTAGAGGGGTGAGAGAACGAATTGGTAACTAGAGGCCCTACTATCGAGGCGCTACGTGAGCTGCTCAACCGTATTCACGGGCTGGAGTTGCGCGTAGTCGATAGGGACGCCCAGTGGGAAGATTTGGTTGCGATCGAGGCGAGGCTAGAGGATCTGCCTGCCCGTCTTGGTTCTCTGGAGTCGCGCGTAAACGACAGAGACACCCAGCTCGGGAGTTTGGCACGCTCCGTTATCGCGGCGCTGGGACCGGTCACTACGCAGGCGCACAGACAGGAGTCTTGAATCTGGTAGCGCTGCGCCGCCAGCCGGGGATGCAGAGGCTACGTGAGGACGGCGACGTCGATGTGAGGATGGCGACGTCGATATGAAGAACGACGTTGCTAAGGAGGGCTCGCCGCTGTCAGATGCTCCCAACTGCGTCTAAACCTGGCCCTGGTGCTCGTTATCGGCATGTTGCGGTTGGGGTAGTTTTTTTCTTTCTTTTTCTTTTTCTGGTTGGGCACCATTTTTCTCACCAAGGTATACAAGCCGCGTCGTGGCTAGGCAGATGGCACTTACTCTCCAGTAGAAAGCATCACGGAACTAGCTGGCTGATTGTACAACTCACACTTTATCACTACGCTTTTGATCTCAATGCCTTGTGAAACTTTGAACTGTTCGTCTACGCCTGTGGGAGTGGACTTCGTATCCGAAATAATTTCACTTAGGGGTGGCCCGCCCCGCACGTAGCCTTTTCGTGGTCGTCTTGCAGAGCACCTGCTTTTTATCATCGACGGCATCCATCTTGTTGCGCACAAAATCGGCTTTAATTAAAGTATCTGTCGTTCTAATCTGTTGCAGGAGAAAAGAAAAGAGAAAAAGAAGGCCTTATTTATCCCTCGAACAGAAGACCGGTATTTCGGCCTTGTTGGAGGCGTTGTTGGTTTCAAAGCTGGTGGCAAATTTCGGTCAGGAGGGCATTATTACGTAACACATCTCACCACACTACCAGCGCAACCAGAGCCGCAAAAAAAAAAAGGGGCCACAGCCCTGAATAACTTTGACCATCAGTGGTACCTAGAGCACGTTAGCGGGCGGTACCCACGCTTTTTGACTGCGCGCCGGCTACCCCGCTTCGTTTCTTCTTTGCTACCAGCAGCGTAACCAGAGCTGCGGGAAAAAAAAAAAAAGAGGCCACAGCCCTGAATCATTTTGACCATCAGTGATACCCAGAGCACGTTAGCGGGCGGCACTCACGCTTTTTGACTGCGCGCCGGCCACCCCGCTTCGTTCCTTCTTCCCTACTATTGCCCAGTCCGCATTCTCGTAAGTCGTCTATCTCCTAACCTCTACATACTCTTTTGACGCAGGTAGCCAGTACTCCGGATCATTCAACGACTGCGCTTCCTGTTTGCCATCCTGCCAGAAGACCACAATGTCCAACCCCAGCAACTATGGCACGCGTGCCAACGCACTCTCCGAATTCAATGATTTCATCGGCGGCGACGACGACGGCCCGCTAGGCCGCCTTGGTAGCGCGAGCGGTGAAGACGTGAAGTGTTCGTCGCTTGCACTGCCTACTCTCCCCTATGCTGCCTCGTCTATTCTGCCTCGGTCGCTGAAGCGAGCCGCCACCAGCGAGATTGCCGATCTTCACGGCTCGCGTTATGTAAGCACTTCCTCGACCTTGTAGATTGCCTACTCGACTCCGTAGCCAGCTACTAATATAACATTGTGCAGAAGCGAGCCCACGGCGTCGCTCTTAGCGCTAGAAAGGACGTAAGTGCTCTCTTTCTCGTGTGGTTCAGGCGTCCCTTACGTTTTACTAACGGACAAATCTCGTCTAGGTCGACGAGACGAGAGCTCTCGACGACGGCAGTTGCGAGCGTTGTCTAATAAACGGTTATCACTGCGAGTTCGAGACGACCTCGGATGCGACCTCTTGCTCAAAGTGCAACAGTAGCGGTGCTTCTTGTCGCCCTGTCTTTCCATCCGTGATCGAGGCTTTCCGCAACGCCAAAAAAGTTTCCCGTATTGCCGGCGAGGTAGAGGGATATGGTGAGGCCGATAAAACAATGAATCCGAACAAGGACGGCAATCTCTTCCGGGCTTGCCGCTAAGTGTATAACGGATTGCGTATCCTGAAATTGAGCAAGATTCCTTTAGAGTACGTCAACGGCAGTCTTGGCTACGAATCTCGCTAACTCTTTTATTAGCTGGGTTATGGACGTAATAACCGAGATGCAACTAGAGCGCCCCAACTATGCTCGTAAACAGACGATAGGTCGCGTCGATACAGCGCTCGCCACTCCGGCAACAACCGGCGCAGTGCTTGACGACCCACAGCAGAAACCCGGTACCACGAAAGCCGGCAATTTTGCTGTCGGCTGTATTGGCAATTCCGACTCGTTTGCAAGCGGGGCTCGTTCCACAGAGGGGAACAACGAACCCCTACATCAGCGCCAGGACGAGCTGGGTCGACGCCAGGAGAACCTAGAAGCACAGGTGCTTTCCATCGCACAATTCGTTGGTCAACGCCAGGAGAACCTGGAGGCACAGGTGCGTTCCATCGCACAATCCGGGAAACGAGGCCGAGACGGACTGAACTTTGACCCAGTTTCAAGCCGTTGCTGGGCTTGATTCGTGAATTAGGGGTTAAGTCATGGCCACGGGTTCTCAGGGACGAGAGCGGGCGCATTGGGTTCTGCCTCTCTGGCGGCGGAGCGTCCTCTCGGCGAATAAGTGTGTGACGTCTGAGGGGGGGTTGTTTTCTCTTTTCCTTTATTTTCTAGCTAGCTAAGACAATACCCGAGTGATGCGTACCTCGCTCTAGTACCTCGCTATGGTGTAGTTGCGGCTCTCTACTTTGTGGCTGCGGCATTCAGGTACTGGCTACGTCGATGATAAATCGCATCATTCGAACAGACTAGTTAATACCTTGATAAGAATAGTCAGTTCCCACACAAAGTTTGGTGCGGGTTGCACCGAAGATAATAGCGACGCGCGGGGTAAACAAGCCGCTTCTGCCTGCGATTTGCACGTATCTTCATCTCTTCTCACCGCGCCACTCCCTTCCATGGACTTTCCCTGCACCCCTTCTGCGTGGCACGTTGCCCAGGTTGGTCTACCCGAGGAAGAGCAAACCCCTCATCTCAACTCACGGCCAGCATGCCGGCGCCGACGGCGGTAAGCACGGGGCTGGGCAGCATGGCGGGCACGTAGCAGCCCAACCGCCGGGTGAAGACGGCGGCAAAGACGCTCATGGCGACGAGGCCGAGCACTAGCGGCAGTCTGTCTTGGTGGTAGACTCGGCGTCCGAGCTTATTCTACCTAAACATTTTGTATAAGCGTTGCTAGCTATATTGCTGCGTCGTCATGCCCGAGGGGCCGGCGCTCGAGATGACGCGCCCCGTCTTTGCACATATCTTGGACCTGGGGAACGTGGTGAACACATCTTAGACCTGGGGAGCGGCCCCGAGGCTCTTCTAGCAAGCCATTCACGGGAGAGTTTGTCAGCGCACAAAACCCGGTCCAGGTTGATATTCCTCGCGGCTCCAGAGAGAGTCGGCCTTGTTGTTTACGATACATTCAACTTCATGAACCGCACAAGGGGGCTAGTTGGCGAGAAGGACTAAATGATCAACCTTATAACGGCTTGCATTGTTTCGTGCCTAGGGGGCTGCGGTATAGAAACTGCCCCAACGATCCGATCTAGCTTAGAGCCTCTGTATCTTTTTATCACCCACCTCTCTGTGTTGGGCATGTTGGAGAGAGGGAGAAATACTATTTCGACATGATCACAATCGGCTTTCTGTGAGAGAGAGAGAGAGCTTGGAGTTATTGTAATTTTTCTTCTTTTATTTTTCTCTCTTCTTCTTTCCTGTGACAGCCCGCCTTACGCAGTAGGGATGTCAATGGTTGAAGGCACTAACGAATGTGGATTTAAAGCTAAGGAAGAGAAAGGAATCTATCGCCGGGTCCGCGCAGGGCGCGGAGAAATAGGTAGTGGTGCTCAGTGCACACAGGCCACACCCTAAGCACAATGCAGCCAATAGAATCAATCCTGTCACATGAGCCCTGTGGCGACCGTGACATTTCCCGTCGAGTTCGCGTCCATGAACAGACGATCGCCCATACTGTAGGAGTCACAATCATGTGCCAAGCTGCAATATGTAGTGGGCTATAATATGGTCACGCACCCGTAGGCCTACCTACAGCGCCCAAGTTGATGTGTGGTGACAATCTGACTCTGTTGTGCGGGAATGAACTCCGGGGCCGGTTTCCCTAATCCCATAGCTGAAGAGTGCGTTCTACTTCGTGCCCACGATCAAGCTACCAAGCTGTAATCTGCTGTAGCTATGCCTTGATTAGTTGACTGTGCGGTGACAATCTCTTTGTTGTGCGGGAAATTGAGCTCCCGGACCGGTTCCCTAATGCTAAATCCCATAGCTGAAGAATGTGGTTCTGCTTCATGCCGACCATCATGTGCCATAGCTGAAGAGTGTGCATCTGCTTCATGCCCACCATCATGTGCCAAGCTGCAATCTGGGGAGCGTGGTCGGGATTTTGTCAGGAGAGCCGTCCCTGTTCGACCTTGCCTAGGGGGTGGCAACTGCTGCGCAGCAACTCGGGGTAGCCCGCTGCTTGTTGACTTGTTTTGGACCGGGGGAGCGTGGCGAGACCCGAGACTTTATCAGGAGAGCCGTCTTGCTCAGGGGGCAACTACTGCGACTGCTGCCTTGTTTGAGGATTAGCACTATACACGTTTGGTTAGAGGGCTTTGTGAGCGTAGAGGCTGCTTACCTGAGTGCTGTCCCCACGTATAGGCTCGGGCCGGACTAGAGGAAATGATGCTTTGGCCGGGCGGCAGTCAGGTCTGCCGTAAACCTGTCAAAGCATAGATGGGATAACTAGGCCTCGAAGCTTTGAATGCCCAGTGCTCCGGGCCGGCATCGAATGTGAAGATGGATTTGTGCCGGGGGGACGGCATCGAATGTGAAAATAGATTCGTGCCGGGGAGACGGCATCGAATGTAAGAAAGGATTTGTACTGGGGAGACGGCATCAAATGTGATGAAGGATTCGTGATGTCTCTCCTCACGATAGTCGATGGTGAGGCTTCTGGAGCTGGCGTTTGAGGCAAATTGCCTAGCTCAATAGTCGATCGATAGTGCGGACCTCTGAAGCTGGCGTATTTTTCGAGGCAAGTTGCCTAGCTCAGGTCTGCCGTGAACCCTTCCAAAGCTGCACCTCGTCTCCGGGTCCTTATCCGTGGCCGATTTCCACCTCCTACGACTGCGTCTCGAGCTTTGATGCCTAGTGCTCCAGGCTAGCATGCGAATGTGAAAAAGGATTCGTGCCGAGAGACGATATGGGAACGGGAAAAGCTGTCTCTCCTAACCATAGTCGATGGTGCGGTTTCTGAAGCTAGCGTATTTTCGAGACTTATTAGCAGAGCCGTCTCTGCTCGACACTTGCCCAGACTAGAGAAAATAGTGTGCCGTGACAATCTCTTATCGTGCGAGAAATTAGACTCGAGACCAGTTTCCCTAATGCTAAATCCGGCCTAAAGAGTGTGATTCTGACTCTTTGTCATGCGAGAAATTAAACTCATAAGCCGGTTTCCCTAATGATAAATTCCATAGCTGAAGTGCTTCTGCTTCGTGCCTACTGTGCCGGCCCGCATGAGAAGTCACACGTAATGCAGTAATGAATGTAGATTTAAAGCTGAGGAAGGAAAAGAGGGAACTTATCGCAGGGACCGCGCAGGGCGCGGGGAAGTAGGTGGCGGTGCTGAGCACGTGGGTAGCGACGCGCCGGGACTACACTCTAAATACAATGCGGCCGATTGAATCTATCTTGTTATATCCCCAGTGGCGACCGTGACACGTACCATCAAGCTGCCGAGGTGCAATCTGCTACAGCCCTACCTCAATTAGTTGACTGTGTGGTGACAATCTGACTCTTTGCTGTGCGGTGAACTCCTGACTGGTTTCCCAATGCTAAATCCGGCTGAAGAGTGTGGGCTCCGCCTTCAAATGTGACTCTTTGTTGTGCGGGAATGAACTCCTAGACCGGTTTCCCTAGTGCTAACCCCATAGCGGGAATGTGGTTCTGCTTCATGGCTACGATCATATATCTCAAGCTGCTAAGCTGCAATCTAGTTGAATGTGCGGTGACAATCTAACTCTTTTTTGTGCGGTGAACTCCAGACCGGTTTCCCTAGTGCTAAATCCCATAGCTGAAGAATGGATTCTGCTTCATGCCCACGGTCAAGCTGCGAAGCTGCAATCTGTCACGCACCCGTAGGCCTGCCCACAGCGCCTAATCCCGTAGCTGAAGAGTGTGTTCTGCTTTATGGTCACGCACCCGCAGGCCTGCCCACAGCGATCATATTGCAGCCCTGCCTCCTGACTCTTTATTGTGCGAGAAAACTCCTGGACCGGTTTCCCTGATGCTAAATCCCATAGCCAAAGAGTGTGGTTCTACTTCATACCCACCATCGTACCGTGACAGGGCCGTGGGCTAATCTAGTCAATATGCTTAAAGAGGGCCCATCAAGTCTGGTCAGCTTGAGTCTTAATAGGGCCTGGGACACAGGCGCGTGCTATATCGGGTAGCCCGCTTGTTGACCTCATCTCTGAACACATCTTGGATATGTGAGGCACGGCCAGTATGAAAGGTGATGCATTGCTTGAGGAAGCTGAAATCTATCGGCTCGCGAGCGAGAAACCTATAGTGGGGGGCTCTTCAACAGTGCGAGAAAGATCATGGCCCTCTGGTAGAGGTTGCAGCTCGTTGCGAGAGCTGTGGTAGTCTAGCATGGAGCCCTCAAATCGTTGGATCAAGTATGATACAGAACGACGGCGATTTCTGGTAGAAGAAGCTTGAATACTTTGGCGTAACGTGATTACGAGACAGATTTGCTAAGCGTACCAGAGTCAGTGTGGAAGCCCTTTACACGCAGAACAAGACAAAGAACCTGTAGTTGGCTTCAATAGCCTCTTGGTGATGGAGAAGTATACGAATCGGTATTCTGGCAAGGTGAATCAGTATTCTGGCAAGGCAACTGGTAGCTACATGTTGGAGGCAGGAGACGGCTCGGCATCGTAGCTTGATACACAGGCTTCACAAGATGCGTCGACAGCGAAGATTCTGGCCAAGATACCTGATTTGATCGAATCTGACGACAACAGCGAGTCTAATGATGATAACGATAGGCTTCAGTCCGCGGCACCCACCACACCCTGCAAGACGGTTAACAAGTGCTCAACGACAAGCTTCAGTCCCGGCACCCACCGCACCCTCCATGACACCTGCGGTTAACAAGTGCTCAAAGACCCGAGTGAATACCGACGCTGATTTAACCGCGCTGTCGGCGAGTGGTTCTGCAGCTTCGGCAGTAGTTATCACAGGCCGGGGGGGTCGATTCTTAATTGGCGAGGCTTTTCGCGACGCCGCTGCTGTTCTCGTAGCGCTGCAAGATGCATGTGGACAAGTAGAAGTCTGGCTGTAGGAATTAAGACTGTGGGGTACCTTGACTGAGCGCGGGGACCTTGACTGAGCGCGAGGTACCTTGACCGAGCGCGGGGTACTCTGACTGAGCGCCTTTGTGTCCCCGCAGTTGTGATCCTTTTGGTAGACACGGTGTTTGGCAGACTTGGTAGATATGGAGAATACGAGCAACACAACCACGCCACCCTCACAACGGTTACTATAGTTAGCAGTAAGAATGACCTGCCATTCTAACACTGGCTTGTTGTAATAGTTGAAGCGTATTTAACCGCGTTTCTTCAAGGACATAAATCCAGCCCCTTGGCACCACGAACCCTACTTTTTCAACGCTTCCGTCACCCTGGAAGAAATGGCAGAATTCGACGACTTTGGGCTACAAATTACCATGTACGGAGTCCCACAATAGAGAGTACATGGCTGACAGGGGGGTTATACAGCT